TTTAATATTATTTTCGTTTTTTGTCATTAATTATATTACTTAACAAATGACGTCTTTGCTGTAAATAAACATTTAAATTAGTAAAGCTTTTACAAGCTTCAGAGTGATGGTGCATTAACATCACTATCAATATCAGCATCAGCATCAGCATCAATATAACCACCAGCATCAGCATCATCATCATCATCACATCCCAAAATCGTGTATGCATAAATCATTTAAATTCAGTTTAATGTCATGCAAACTTAGTTCAATATTTACTTATTGATTATTCGTTACAAGTACTTTGGAGTCTTGCTTCGGTTGAATGGTTTCCTCATAACGTTCGATTGATGCGCCGGGTTCGTTTCTGATGTCTTTTGTTTTCTTAAGCAAATTAACGTTTCGCGTTAAGTGACTTAAGTTTCCTCACTATTTTTAACAATTTTTTTATTTTTTTATATTTTTTAAATTTTATTAATATTTGCATATAAAGTTTTTTGTTGTTACGATATTTACCGGAAACTTATTTAATTGCAAATGTCATTGCGTTTGCACTTTTTCTTTCCAAATATTTGAGTGGTCTTCGATGTTAAACGTTATGTCATTTACCGTATTTGCTCTACGGTTCCATTACTTTTTGAATTTTATTACACTTTTTTAACAGCTTCCATGTATTTTATTTGAAATGTGCAAATTTTTTATATAATCTGTAAACATTAATTTGCAGTCTTCTCAGTTTGCTTATACACCTCTTTTTATTATGATTTTATTATGTGCAGTTAAATTTTTTAAAGCCTTTTAAACAAATGAAACTCTTAATATAATTATCATCATTAAGGATGTAAATATACTATTATTATGAACACGTGGCTTTTTACCAACTGCAGCTGATATAACAATATCGACGGATATATTAAATAATAGAGGGAAGAGAGAACAGTCTCATAGTGTTCCGTGATCAGCAATACGTCTATTAGTACACGCTGCATTAAGAACTGTACAAAATGTGAATGAATTTACTATTTTTAACAATTTTTAACGGATATCTCTATTCCCAAGCTTCATATATATAGAGCCTTAAAGGAAATCTGGGATACATTTGCCCTCAAGATCTGTCCATACGTAGTATGAAGTAATGCGCCATAGAACGCAGAAATTCAATAAAGATGTAATAAGAAGAGATATGAAGAAAAAGTTTAATTCTTGACACTTCGGCAATAATTTGGATGGAGGTAATGCGGTCGATGCAAGATCATTGAGACTCGAATTACGGGATACTCGCTTATCAGACTGAAGTAACGGTTATGTGGCCGCTATATGTATATAGCTGTATTTTGCAGTTCGGCATCGATGAATGCACTTTAAGGGACTCGGCATGTGATGGTTGATTAGATTAAAATGCAATGTATATACCGACTGTGTGACTAATAGGGACACAAAGAACTTAGGAGTGAACTAATGCCATTCCTTGTTAGAAAAACACATGATGTCCCTATTTTAAACCAGAGGATAGGATGTTTCAGAGAATAGCGAGATGACTAAGTGCATTTGGGAGGTGTGATTCGTTCAACCATATTTCAGTTTCGACTTAATTCTTAATGTTTGTGCATGGAAGACTTTTCTGCTGACTCGCAGAATTATATTTGCTAAATTGGATCAAATCTGGTTGACTCTTTGAAGAGAGTATTGTGGTACCTGTAATTAAAACTCAAATAGAATTGCTTTTCCCAACTTTATGCTTTGTTCCAAGAGGAGGAAATTATATGCAGCGTATAGCTTCAGTTGGTACCAGCGGATTTTCTTACAATGTCAATGAAGTACACCCAATTTTTAGTAATTTTTTAAAACCACATAACAATATTTTCTTACAGTTTTTACAGTGTTATATATGTATCTTAAAGTGATTGTTATTGGTTCTTTTTAGTTAATATTAATTGCAATATTTGATCTTTATTTATTAGTACAGAATATGGCATGGAGATCGTCTTGATTTGTAAACAAAAATAGTTTATCTTATTAAAGACTTTAAGCTGCCTTAAGTTACTTTTACTAATTATTTTTACTAATACATTGCTTATCTCTACCTGAAGTAAGTCTTAAACTTCATCCGCAAACTCGAGGTGCAGTTAACGCGTAAGTCATCTATAGAACTATTTAATTTTAATGACAGATTTAATAATATTTTTGTATAAAAAATTAAATTATTTTTAACTTTCTATTCTCATGTACCAAACTATTGCCACACTCCGGTTAATAAGCCACAATCTTTTAACCCTAGTAACCTTTGTCTATGTTTCATACAATTACTCAATAAAGTGAAACGATGATCATAAAGCATCCAATAAACATTATTTTGTGAAAGGATTTAATTTATTTCGAAACTGTTTAACAGATAGTTTAATTTTTTGGATCTCACAAAACCGTTTTCGGAAATCAATGCATTTCTGTATTTAAATTAATTTTCGTTTCATGTCTTTTAGTTAACAATCTCACCAACTTAAACAGATGGCGACCTACTGCTGTCAGTCTCCCAAGAGACCTTTATTTCCATTGCTTTACTAAAGATGAACTATAAAAATCAGTTAACAAATTTTCCAATCGCCAATTACTTTGTATGTCATAACTAAATTAAAGGTAGTAGCATCGTTGATGTTAATGCTTTGTTGCTTCTATCAACAAATTGTTGACACAGAAGCTGCATCTTCGAAGTCTTGAAAATCCATTGAAATCAACAGTCTGGCGAGTGCTTGAATTGAAAGTTGCAGTCAATCACTTGCATAGTCATTTTTCAGCAATTGATCAACAACGAATTGCACTTGAAAACCACTCACAGCAGGCAACTCGAATGCTCGCGTACCTTTTATGGCTGTGGATGTGTGGATGGATGTAATAGCCATCGCCAAGTAGAACTTCTTCAGAAGATGCAAATTATTAATCAGAAATTAAAATTCAGTGGCTACTTGGTTGCTGCTCGGTTGCTGCCAGCATGCAAGTGCAACGGCTTGTGCCAAAGCTGTCAATAAACCCAAATCATGAACCTATTGAGCTTGTCCAAAAAATTCACACTTCTCAAAATCTCACAATTCATTATGTACGATTTATGTTAATTGAAAAAATCATTTCGAGAAACGTTTATGAAATACAAAACAGTTTTTCGCATTTAATAACGAAACACAAATCAAATTTATTATCATCTTAACTGTTGACTGCTGAAGATACATGCCAAAACAGGCAGCAAAGTTCAAAGTTAAATTGAAATGTTATATTACGTCTCTTCGTACTGGCAGAGCACCTAAGTATTCAGATAGATATTCTCAAGGATTCTTTGACAAGTGCGTCTTGAAAAAAATGAGAACTGACTTGATTTATTGCCCGCAGATAATCCATTAGGTTGAAATCCATTGGCTATAAAATATTAATATTAACATAAAATTAAAATGCTGCTTACGAGCTTTTTTGTGTGTTAAAACATAACTAAAATGAATACTCATAATGACATACATTGTAAGTAAAATATTATTTTTAATATATATTTTTAATATATCATTTTAATATCTTATTTTAATATATATTTTTAATATATCATTCTAATACATATTTTTTATATATATTTTTTATTTATATTTTTATATATGTTTTTATTATACATTTTTAATATTCAGTTTAAAATAGTAATATTAAATATTTACCGATTTCTCGATTTAAGTGCTGTTCATTTAAGATATAGTAAATATGCATATAACATCAATTTAGTATCTCATAAAAAAGACACTCTCACATTATTTGCATTTATGTTCATAAAGTTTGTTAATTTCCTCAATATGTTTTAATGCCATACTAAAAAGAAGACTCTCGAATCTTGTGAAAACAAACTAACTAATTCAGTAATAAATATTATATTAAAGTGAAGTGGAGTCACAGCATCCATTGACTTCAGTATGGGAACTTTAATACTCTGCATTATTGTGAAGAATATAACTTCAATAGTGCCCTACTAAAATGGGCGGTTATTATTTAGTTATATATGAATGTTATTTGTCGATTTTTATATTCTTCATAATTTAGCAATGAAATTAATGTATGATGCATCAATTGGCTAATAAAATTTTGAATAATTACTTACCTCTACGTCCGTTCGTCGGGGATTTATGCAGTTACCGCTTAAGCTCTGCTGCTCTTTAAACAAATATAGAAAAAAGTCATTTTCAGTAAAAAATAGTATATTAATTTTATTATAATATATTAATAGTTTTTCAAATTTTATAAATAACATTTTGCAATTATAGAATAAATGATTTCAGTTTACAATCCTAAACAAGCAATTGGAGAAATCATACTGGATATGGAAATAATGCGTTATCGCTTCATTAAACTTTATTCTATTAAGTTGTGTGTTATCAATGGCATACTCCAATAAAGCCATCAACACCTTACGAAATACCTTCATTAGATATTCTTCGATAGAATTATGTGAAATCAGTAGGTTGATTCAATAATCCATATTCACTCTTAGAACCAATATTATTCGCATAAATAGTATAAATGGAATATATAAACAAAGAGACCAAAAAGTATGAAAAAGCTTGAAGCTTCAGTATTGAGTATTTAAAAAATCCAGAAAAAATCTTTCACATAAAAAAGCTTTAATTAAAAAAAAGCGGGAAATCAAATTTAAAAATACAAATTTGTTTTAATATTTTTAAATTTTTTTTAAATTAAATTTAGGAATATTTAACTCCCTTTTGATAGCCCTTACTTCATTCGTTTCTCAGATATTAATAAGGTATTAATAGTAGTCGTACCCGTAGTCAAAACTGCAAGATAACAGGGTTGTTATTGAAGTTGTTTAGAAATCGTTGTGTTTAAAAGAAATTTCTCATAAATTACTCTTACTCTTAATAACAGTAAGAGTAAACCATCATAAAAAAATATGAAAAATTATTTACAAAACCTCTACGTATTTGTTTTCAGTCAGTAATTAAAAATTATATCAACTGTTAGTAAAAGACCATTATGTATTGGTTGAACTGTTCGAATTTTTATTTGGCTGTCAGTATTGTTTTGCATTCTTTGATGTTTTTCTTTTTAGCACTTAAGAGCAATCGTTATTGTTTGGCAATATTTTCCGTATTGGTTTTGTAGTTCAACACATTATTAATGTGCAAAACCAATACATAAGATATGATTAAACAATAACGTTTCCTCAAATCTTAGAAGAACTTTTGTTTTGTTTAAGAGCAATTGGGACAGCTGGTATTGAAATTTGTATTACGATGGCGATACGAAAACTCCTCGCAGATCTCATCCACAGTGGTCCTCTTCAGCATCTTCATGAATAGATGATCAGCACGAGATTGTATAATGTACTTGATTACGGCATGTATGTCATCAAAATATAACATACCCGCTGTGCCAACATTAAGATCCAGGTATCGGAAACGATTGACATTACAGACACATCCATCGTATAGGAAGAAGCAGCATTTCATAGGATTTTGCACACGAAATAGACAGTAATAACCCCATGGTGTCATAATGAGCACGCGTTCAGCACAACGCAAACCAGCACGCAAAAGCTTACAAATACTTTCGTAGGAACCATTTTCAGAACCAACAACTGCTAGCGGCTCAGGTGTAAGTAGTAAACCCGGATAACGATTTGGTTCACATTGGATCATACCTTTGCCACAGTCATCAGCATCATAACCACAACCTTCCTTTTTTTTCTCAACGGCAGCTGGTGCTACCGTCTCAGTTGGGGCGGCTTCTGGTTTTGGAGCGGCTGCAGCTGCTGCCTTCTTACCCTTCTTCCCCTTCTTACCTTTCTTTCCCTTTTTACCTTTCTCTCCTTTATCCTTCTTTGGTTTTTTATCCTTCTTCTTACCTTTTCCCTTTTTACCTTTTTTACCTTTCTTCGCCATTTTTATAGTTTACTTCTAAGCTCTTCAATAATTATCATATGCCAGGATTAATCGCCATTTAGCTAATCTTACATTTTTCTTAAAAGATAACCGTTTTACTACATGTGGTGTTTGTAGATGCATGAACCCTAAATAAATATATGGTGAGTGAAAATCGAATTTAATATCATTTTTAACCTCACATACCAGATTAGCCAGTTTGACTGCACACTTTAAGCAAATGCCACAGTTCAAATGACAGCCAGGAAGGAAGCCAAAAATTTTGATGAAACTAACTATAATAAATAATTTAATTTATGAAATTTTTTTTTCTTTTTAATAAATTAATTAAAATGCAATGCCAACTTATGAAAAATATAAGAATTACTATTACTGCTATTTGAACCAGTGCACTTGAGCACTTTTACTCTCTGTTAACTCTGTTAACTGCGAGGTATCTTCAAAACCCCTCTTTACGCCCTGACTGGATTATTGTTTATCATATCATCAGACTAAGCAATAACTGACTTCAGATGTGCCTACCTATAATCGAGGAGCCGGTAACCGTTCTGAGATTCGATAACGCGGTGTTGGTAAGTCTGTCAGTTATCGTAAATAATTTCAGGGCTCTATCCTTTATGTATTTTTTGATCGAATCAATCTTGAGGTCCCTGAAGATGTCATTCGTCCTAATGTACCATGGTACCTTGAAAACTTTTCTCAGAGCCTGGCTTTATGAAGTTTTTAGCTGGCGAATATCATAAATATATTGAAAGAGAAAATAACTTTAGATTTAGTATGTATATTATATATAGTACGCTATTGGTAACAAATCACTTTCATTTTAAACACACTGGCAAGGTCTGATACAATGTGTTCATTACTGAATACATTAGAAGAAACTCAACCTTGACATATATTTTGGCCCAATCTGTGTGAATTTTTTCATCGACCTTAAGGGTTATTTTTTAACTCTTTGCTTTTGTATAAAACGATTAAGTAGTCGCTCTATATAATACCAGGTTTGATTAATTCATGCGATAGCCAAGCTCTTGAGGAATATAGTGAAGTTCTGTAAGAATGCTAGAGTATTCAAGAAGTGGTTTCCACTATTTATGTCTATTTCGATTACTGCGTTGGTTAGATAGTTGGAAAGATCTCCTTTAATTTAGAAATAGACTGTTCTTAAAATCAATCCAGCTTCACTAGCTTTCTTCTCATTTTATGTGACGGCTATCAAATGATTACGTTTTAAAGGTGGGCTGTCTAGTTGTAGAGGTAATACTTTTTTATTCGAGAATTAAACACTTTTGTGGTTTTAGGGGTTGTGAAGTAGTTGACCTAAGACTTTTCGGAGTTCAGAGACAATATATTCATATTGAATTCAATCTAGGTTCACTGGCATACTTTTCATATTAAGCGATAGCCACCAAGCGGCTACATCGTAGAGTTGGACTGTAAGGACATAAACCTTAGAGATTATTTTAGCTTTCAAGTCACAAAAAACGAATAAGGTTCGTTTTTATTCGTATTAACACTTAAACGGGCAATTGTAACTTCTAATAGTGCACACTGAGAAGAAGAGAGTCGAGAAGATAACCTTATCTACGATGGAAAAACCAGTTGATCAACGTTATAAAGGCACTCGTTACTAGCAGGCTACAGCAAGTCAATAATGAGGTTGGCTGAAGAAGGTTATTGGCCGCGTCTAAGGACAACTCATGCTGTAATGGCGATTTACCAAACCAACCAATGAAGCACATTGGTTATTTTTTTTATTTTGAAGTATTATAATAAATATTTTTCATTTTTCAGAATATTTAGCTGTTCTTAATCGTATTTCATGTAAATATAGCACAAATAAAAAAAAATTTACTTGGTTCAATTCGATCTATGGAGTTATAATAGAGGCATTTTTGTTATTTTTCTATAATTTAATTAATTGTGAAAAGAAAAATAATTGAATTGAAGTAATTTGTTCACACTTAAACAAGCGATTTAATTAATTACACATTTTTACTTTAAATGGCAGCGTTTTTTTTTTTTGCTGATGCTTAATGCGACAAAAGGCGTTAAAAAGTTGAGAGTAAAGTAAATAATTTTGACGTGAGACGTCACACAAATTGCGAAACATCGCAGTTATTGTGTAAATAAATTTGGTAAAACGACTTTAATCAGTTAAGTCTGTTTTGATAAAGTCAGACTTGAAACCGCTAAGCCGCTACGTCTTCACACATTGCTTGGCTTGGCTAGTTAGGGAAAAGCTCTGGAGAATGGAAAGATACATAGTTTTGGATTTTCAATTAGCGGCATTAAAGCGAAAATTGTTACTACAACAAAATTACATCTTTTACATCTACGAATTTTGTTTGTTTAATTTTTAAGTATTTTTTTTTCGTAATAATCATGCGATATTTGATTAAACATAATCAATACAAGCTGAAGGCATGTAAGCTAAGCAGAAGATTAGTCCAAACACACGGCATAAGCTGATTTAACAGATTTAAGCGTGGAAAAAATTCATAAAAATATATAGTAATTTCATGGAATCACCCAGAGCTTTAACAAGCTGTAATCAAGCAATGTGAATTGCAACAGGATCCAACCGAAAAGTGAATGGATACTTTTGCAAGATACGAAACTGCACACAAAATTGTGGGCACATTAGAAAATCTGTGAACACATGTGTGCACATAAGAATCAACAAAAGTTTCGAGGCATTTGCATAGTGGAACAGTGGAAAAAATTGGGTCCAATGAAAATCAAATAAAAATCGCTGATGCAAAATATCAAGAAAAATTTTATATCTTTTAAAACATATTTTATGGAACTCGTAATGAGTAGTGTGGATTATAGAGAGAACTCTTTAATCCTGTAGCACATAGTCACTCAACGAACCTAGTTCCTTCATCTGAGTGCTATCACTTCACTAATGGCTCTTCATACCACATTTCGCAAACCGTGTCAACACACTGAAAAAGCTTTTCCACCAAGCCTCTTTGTCAAGCACGTAATATTCGTGGTCTTGGACTATGAGGATTGATGTAGTAGGCATAGCAGCGCAAGAATCCACCTTAGTATTTAACAGTAGTGCCCATAGATTTCCAGAAAGCTTATTTGCAAAGAAATTGGACATAAGACGAGAAGTAAGTTTACCTGTGCTCCTATGTTGTGACTATAACTATAAATATAACTGTGACTATAAAATTAAGGACAAAACGCTAGATTTATACTCCAGAACAGTAAATGTAATATAGTTAAGCCTCTCATTTTGTTGGTATATGGATAATATAGTGCCAGATTCGTGTAATATAACTGAAGCTTTATAAATGATGTGCTGTGTTATTTAAGTAGCAAAAGAACTGCTGATTATGGTTATAATACATCTCATAAGGACTTTACATAGGACTATATTAACACACAATTAGTTAAATTAAATATATTTTGATAAGCAGATTTGAAATGTGTGTATTTTGATATAACTACGCTTTCATTTTTACTTAAATTAAAAAGTTTAAGTATATTCATTTTTTTCTATGAAGACTTTAAACTTACCTGGATATCAGCTAAAGATGATTTGATAGGCTGCCTATAATTCATCATCAATACGGAACAGTAGAGATAACAAAGTCAAAAAAAGTTGCTTTGCACTGATGAAGATAAATCTGAGTAGTATTAGAACACGCACGACTTGATTTGTTTAGGATTTAAAATCCTAGTACATAAGCGTGATCAAAATACTCTATATTAGAGGCCCAAACAACTTCTTTTTTGGAATAAGTTCCATTTTCTTCCTAAATTGTAAACAAAAATTTAAATAGGAATAGAGTAAATATTATTTCAATTCTCTTAATAAGCATTATGTGTACTATAGCTTCTCATTCCCCGACTTAAACGATCTTTCAACGGTGGATTTTGCTACAAGAACAGCTACAAGAATGATATTCTCTGATATAAATGAGAAGATGAGGGTTCATTGTAGAACGGTCCTATTTACATGTTAAAATTATAACTTCACCATCAATACAATTATATGTGGACCATTCCCGTCCACATACGTTCATGACCTGACCTCTGAATAATTACTCTTAAGTCTAACCACAACAGGACGAGGGATTATAATTGTGATTAGGCTTCCATTTAAGATTAAACAGTAACAAAACAAACCAACTTATTCTAAGTGTATTCATTTCCAATCAAAAGAGCTACTAGCTACTATATATAGTAATTTATTTGTTATAGAATTTTTTTTTTTTTGAATCATGTCCACAGTAAGACAATTTTCGTCTCGAAGATTAGCTTCAAACTGTAATCTTGAGAATAAACATTAAATACTCGTTATAAGTGATAGGCAGTTGGCAATATTTTTATTTTTATTTTCATTTTTTCAACAAATTGCCAAATATTAATTGTGGATATTAGAAACTACACTCTTGACTTAGATGGACCCGTTCTTTAACTGGTAAAATAGACTTTATTGTACAATCTATCCTGCGGCTGGTTTAATACAATTTAAATGACTTGGACAAAAATTCTTTTAAATATGAAATCACAACTATTTGTCTGCGCAATCTTCAGAGTTCAAATGTGACTTCATCAACAGCTCTACAAAGTTTGGCTGGTGGACATCTAAGAACTTGTTGGCTTGTAATATGAGCAACAACATCTGAACCAACAACAACAACTGCAACTGCACCAACAACAACAATGACTGCTGCAATGTTTTGGTGTAGATTTAAACAAAATACAGATGATCTCAGTACGTCGCTTAACACGTTCAAGTCCGGTCTAGACGAGAAGCGTGTTGAGTCGCTAACACAGTAGATATGGATGCAATCGGCGATGCAATGAGCAGAAATGCAATTGCATTGCGACGAGTGCGGTATGCACATTAGCAGGGCGGAAAATACGCTGCGGTGTTTATTATTTGCTTGTTTTGATTTATGTTGAAAGGAATTGCAACAGAAACAATTAAATTTTTACTCTTAACGATTTTGATTAATTTTGTGTTTTGGATTGGCATGCAAAATCTCTTTCTGACGAAGCGACAGTTTTTAGGCAACACGTATAACACCTCAGATTTATTCCCACCTCTACTGTTTATTTAATTATTTTTATTAGCGGCCAAGATAGGAAATACATTAGTAACATTAATATTTCTAGAAAAAAAAAACATGATCTTAAGAAATATTTAATTTAAATGCGATTCGTAATATTTAATAATGAAAACTACAAAATTATCTTCTCTAATGAATTTTGTGTTTGTAAGCATTTCGTCTTGACAGCATTTTCAGATAAATTGCA